GACCAAACTTTTTAGTTTTTGAAGCTTCGCTTTTGACGTTGCAAATTTATTACGAATTCAACAGTCATTCAGCAATCAGTATGTATCGCCAATAAAGCCTGATGTCTAATGATTTTATAAGGGAAACTATTTATTTTTAACGCCATATTTGTGCAGATATGGTCTATGCTTATTCACATAGGTTAAAAAAAAATAATGCACCGGAAAGGACGTGATTCAGGGGCTGACAAATAGATTTTAAAGGTACTTGCCCAAGGGCAAGTACATGGTCAAAATTCACTTACCCTACCTGAATTTTTGCCTGCCCTACCATTAACTTATACTGTATTTATAAATATATATAAAAAATACTGAGTAGAATATTGGCATACATATTGATTATTTTTGATAATTGATTAAGTCACTTGCCCACGGGCAAGTGGTTGATAAAATTTCACTTGCCCAACCCTAAAATTCACTAGCCCCGGGCGTCGGGCAATGGGATTTGTCATCCCCTGAGTGATTGAAACTCGCACTGTATCGCAGTAGATATAGGGGCGAGATGTAGAAAATGGCAAAACAATTTAGAATAGAAGATATATATTCTTATTGATGAATGATAATCGAAATGTACAGGTTATGGATAAAAAAGTATAACAGGAAAAAAAAGAAAAGCATGGTATAATGTATTATGGAATCCAGTAAATTTGAAGTAACATATGTCATAGTCTTCTGGCTGTAGGGTCATGAAACATACGTAGACTTCAGTCAATTTTTCAACCCCTTATAGAATGTTTATCAACGATGTAATTAATCTAAATACTTGCAAATAACAACATTTGTTTGAATTAATACTAAAACATTTTTTTAAATAAATTTTAATTGCTTGATATCCACAACATTGAAGGATAATATAAATTTAGACTTAAGCTAAAGATGTTTCATGATCCAAGGGTCAGGTTGAATAATAAATAAAAAAGACTAATTGATTTGTTGTTGTGTTGTTGCTTGATTATAATGTTATCTATGCAGGGATTACTCTACGTTTTGGGAGAAACTACCTTTCCTGGAGGAATGCAGGTGGTTTCACCCCGATTTCTTGTTTGCTCTGAGTGGTTTCTCCCCAATTACTTGTTTATGCTGAGTGGATTTGACCCAGTTGGGTTTACCCATAATTATTGTCTGTTTGTCGGATGGTCGTTTGTTCAGTAGGATAATGATAAGCAGCTTAATAAAAATTAAAGATGAAGGCTGTCCTTTGTGCTTTTACATGAATCTATACAAAAGTTTTGTTTGCTATATCATTTTTTTTTTTATAATGGCTACATGAAGCTGTATTCATTGCAAATAAACTGTTAGTATTTTTTTTTCTTTAACTAAAAAATTATAGGAAAATATTAAAATTTAGGCCTTATTTATTTGTCTATTTGAAATATGAACAGATATGTGTTGCATTAAAAATTCGTGAAGAATTTCATTCTATATCTGATATTGAAATGTTATTTAATTATCTACCGGGGTAATTATGACTGTGTATAAGTCACTGAAAAAAGAACATATAAATTTATTACCTGTTACAGTGTCGTTAAACACTTAATCGGGGCGAACCCACCCGTTACATTCTTGAGAAATAGGGAAAATTAGCCAGGGTCGGAGGACCAGTTCAAATAGGCAGATCCAGAAGGGGGGGGGGGGTGTTACGGGATTGCAAAAAAAAAGAAAGAAGAAAGTCCCAAGTTTTTGTTGGGTTTACATGTCTACATGTATATGTAAAATGTACGTTATATTAACTCTACCTCTTCACCTTCAAACCCCCCCCCCCCTTTGAAAAATTTTCTAGATCTGCGCCATCCAACGGGTGCAGGGTGAGCCCTGCTGGGAGGTCCAGTTTAATATCAGCATTTTTATGACCATTTAAAGTGCATAAATTAAACTATATTTCACACCTTATAATAATTTATTTCTTTTATTTTCCAGTTTTTTAAAAGAAAAGAAATATTTGAGCTTTTTATTATTGTAAGGGAAAATTTTTACTCATTAAAGGGGAAATTGGGATATTCAGGGGAAATTTTCTCTTAGGGAAAAATACCAAACATTGTTAATACTCCGGGTAAATATGCCCTAGAAAATCCCTGTATAGTAACAATGAATTATCTTGATTGGAAATTGTATGCTAAAGATTTAATTATTTTATTTGGCGCTTTTTGAAAAAGAATAATTAATACCCTCCTTCGAAGAAGGGAGGGCATATTGCTTTGCTGCTGTCTGTTGGTTGGTCTGTCGGTCCACTTAGTTTCCATGCATTATCTTCGCAACTGTTGCACATACTGAAATGAAATTTGGTATACAGGTATATCTCATGAATATCTAGGTCAAGTTCTATTTTGGGTATGATCACACCAATTTTGTCAGAGCTATGCCCCTTGGACTTAGAAAAATTCCGATCATTTGCAGTTTCCATTCATTTTCTTTGCAACCATTGCACATACTGGAATGAAATTTGGTATACAGGTATTTCATATGAAAATCTAGGTCCAGTAGTGTTTTAGGTATGATCATACCATTTTTTACAGAGTTATGCTCCTTGGACTTAGAAAAATTCCAATCATTTGCAGTTTCTGTTCATTTTCTTCGCAACGGTCATACATACTGAAATGAAATTTAGTATACAGATTTATCATATGAATATCTAGGTCAAGTTCTGTTTTGGGTACTATCGCACCATTCTTGACAGGGTTATGTCCCTTAGACTTTGAAAAAATTACAATTATTTGCAGTTTCCTTTCATTATCTTTGCAGAGGTTGCACATACTGAAATGAAATTTGGTATACAGATTTATAAGTAAAATATCTAGGTCAAGTTCTGTTTTGGGTAGATTGCACCATTTTTGACAGAGTTTTGGACTTGGAAAAATTCCAATTTGGGGGGAGGAGGCATAAGTGTTTTACAAACATCTCTTGTTAAATTATATTCCAATACTGGTAAAGACTAATCTGCACTTGAAATACTTTTTGCTTTAAAAAAAAAATAGCCTTGATCAAACATCCCATGGGCAATAATTTAATGGGGAAGAAAATTACATTTTTTGTTAATTGCACAATATTCAGGTCACCTTGGTCATGCATACATATATACAGTTTTTGGTCAATGATTTCATGATGGTGAGGCTTATCGAAGAAATTTCAATTTTGTTCATAAACAGCCTCTGGATAGAAGGAAAGATTTGCATTTTGAGTTTAGTTGGTAATGTAATAGATCCAATGGATAGGAGGAATTGGGGAGAATTTCTGAATATCTAATATGAGGTTTAAATTGATTGGAATGAAAAATATGGAGACAACGAACAGAACTCAAGATCAAAAGCCCATAAAACAATCACACTCATTTATAAAAAAGGGGGGGGGGTAATTGAAAGTAATTAATCACACTCCCATATTAGTACATACATGTATAATCTTCCTCAATGTTCATAAAAAGAGTTGATCTTTATGTATTTAACAGAAAGAACAAAATTTAAGTTAATTTTGTTAAGGTCAACAGTTGTGGCAACAAAAATACAGTGATGTGCATTGAAATGGTAAAAAATTTGATTTGAATGGAACATTTGTTTTTTTCTTGTATACCATCAAGTGTTGCATAACCTTGTGCCCATTTCTTAAAAAGAAAAAAAAATGAGATAGCTATTCTCTGTGCAATATTGTTTTAAGACAACCCCACTTTGAGACTTAGCATGTATCAAAACCTGGTTATACCCCCCGCAAACGAAGTTTCGGGGGGGGGGGGTTACATAGGAATCACCTTGTCCGTCTGTCTGTCTGTCTGTTAAAACGTGTCCGGTTCATATCTTTCTTTTGGAGGAACATAAGAATCTACTACTCCACACAAAGATTGCCCATGACCTAAGGGTGTGTCATGACCTTGACCCAAGGTCATTTGGGGAACTTCAAAGTCACTGGAAGAAAAATTTCATAATTCGTGTCTGGTCAATATCTTTCTTACGGAGGGACATTACAATTACTACTCCACACAAAGATTGCCCATGACCTAAGGGTGTGTCATGACCTTGACCCAAGGTCATTTGGGGAAGTTCAAGGTCATTGGAAGAAAAAATTCATAATTCATGTCTGGTCCATATCTTTCTTATGGATAAACTTGGTAGGTTCTCATTCCACACAAAGATTGCCCATGACCCTTGGGTTTGTCACGACCTTGATCGAGGTCATTTGGGTAAGTTCAAGGTCACTGGAAGAAAAATTTCATAATTTGTGTCCGGTCCATATCTTTCTTATGGATAAACTTGGTAGGTTCTCATTTCACACAAAGATTGCCCATGACCTCAGGGTGTGTCATGACCTTGACCCAAGATCATTTGGGGAAGTTCAAGGTCACTGGAAGTAAAATTCATAATTTGTGTCCAGTCCATATTTTTCTTGTGGATAAACTTGGTAGGTTCTCATTCCACACAAAGATTGCCCATGACCCATGGGTTTGTCATGACCTTGACTGAAGGTCATTTGGGGAGGTTCAAGGTCACTTGAAGAAAAATTTCATAATTTGTGTCCGGTCCATATCTTTCTTATGGATTAACTTGGTAGGTTCTCATTTCACACAAAGATTGCCCATGACCCAAGGGTGTGTCATGACCTTGACCAAGGTCATTTGGGGAAGTTCAAGGTCACTGGAAGAAAAATTTCATAATTCATGTGTGATACATATCTTTATTATGGAAAAACTTGCTTCTGAAAAACCCAGCGGGGGGTATTTTGCCCCGTTTGGACAGTTCTAGTTTTAAATTGGCAATTTACTTTTCTGTTTTGGTTTAATTTATTAAATATACTGCCTATCATTTGTGTTTTCTATAAAATATTAAGATGATATGTCAATTGATTACTCGATTTATTTGATTGGTCATTTTAAAAATGGGTTAAAAATTTTGAAATTGTGCAAAACTTGAAAGAAAAGTTATCTTACCTATTCTTTCCTCCCTTTTCTATTATATAGAAGGATGTACAGTTGAGTCATGGTAATCAGGATACTTCACATTACTGATGAGGTGTGTTAAAAACAGAATGTTTAGATCTACAAGTAATTCGGGATTAAATTCGGTATTCCTGATGTTTCATAAACCAAGATTCTAAGAAGTGTCCGTATTAACAAGGCTTGACTGTACATCCATAGTATCTATATTCATTATTTACTTTATCCTTTGTAGATGCCTAGAAGAAAGTATTGGAGGATGAGTGGTGCCAGGAGAGAGTTACGGACTGACAAGACTGAGGAGACTGGCCTCATGAAAAACAGTAAAACAATGTCTGACCTTGACTTGACTGAGGAGACTGGCCTCTTTAAAAACAGTAAAACAATGTATGACATTAGAATGACTGAGGAGACTGGCCTCGTGAAAAACAGTAAAAGCAATGTTGACACTGAGGATCCTGCCCTCAGCTTACAAAAAAACAGGTCAAACAAAGAAACTTGTGCAACAAATCTGCTGAATGATTTTTGTGAGACAAATTTGCTGAATGAACTATGTGAAACAAATCTGCTCAATGAATCTCATGAAAAGAATTTGCAAAACATTACTGAACAAAAATTGACAAACAATGCCTCAATCACTAAAACTGTACAACATAATCATGGTGTAACGGCTGAAGAAGGCAAAGCATTTAGTCATGCAATCAACCAGGTATGCAATACAAAATTTGTATTTGGGTCATTTCATCAAGGGGATGCAAGGTTTTCATCATTTTCTAGAGGAAGTCAGTGTACCTGCAATGCGCTTACTATGCTGATAAAAAGTTACGAAGGATTTTCATTCTCAACAGAATTTATTAATAGCACTTTAATAGCAGGAGATCAGGTTTATGTTATGTTGGTCAAGAATTTGCAGCAAAGACAATTGTTTCTTAACAAACTACTTAAATTTGATGAGTTGCCAAGTACCTTAACTTTAGGAGAAAATCATCATGTCATTGAGAAATTTGAAACCATGTGGGGAATACTTGTCTCTGATGAACAAAGTAGTCAAGTGAAATCATTGCATCAAGCTTTAGAAGAGGCTTTCCAGGTTTCTAGATATTTGCTGATAATGATAGGGGCAATTTGTTCTGGTATATACAAAGTGTCAGACAATGAATTTTACTTTTTTGACTCTCATTCACATGACAGTGCTGGCATGTCTGCCTGTGATGGTAAATCAGTACTAGTACAAAGCAAGACTATTGATGATTTGGTGTCATATTTGTACAGTATGTATAACAGCATGCATATAGATTTTAGAACGCAGTTTGAAATCTTACCAATCTCAATTAAGACTTTGCATCATAGTTTTCCAGAGAAAAGCCCATTGCAGAAAAGATTTTACAAAATGGATGATCATCTCTCATCTAGGACAAAATCGGATCAAAACCCATGCAGAAAAGTGTATATGAGAGATTACATGAGGAGATAAAGACAGAAAGTACAATTTAAGCAATTAGAAAAAAACAAAGAAACACATGCAAAAAAGTTACGAAGACAAAATGATGATATAAAAAGCAGAGAAACTGAAATTGCAACATTTGCAAGGAAATTGAAAAGGCAGAATGCTGAAATAAGACAGAAAGAAAATGAAAGAGAAGCAGCTGCTAGAAAGTTAAAGCGACAAGATACTGAAATTAAAAAGAAAGAAAGGGAAATGGATAAGCTTGCAAGAAAGTCAAAGCGACAAGATGCTGTAATTAAAGAGAAAGAAAGGGAAATGGATAAGCTTGCAAGAAAGTCAAAGCGACAAGATGCTGTAATTAAAGAGAAAGAAAGGGAAATGGATAAGCTTGCAAGAAAGTCAAAGCGACAAGATGCTGTAATTAAAGAGAAAGAAAGGGAAATGGACAAGCTTGCAAGAAACTCAAAGCGACAAGATGCTGTAATTAAAGAGAAAGAAAGGGAAATGAATACTGCAGGTAGAAAGTTAAGGCGACAAGATGCTGAAATTAAAGAGAAAGAAAGGAAAATGGATAAGTTTGCAAGAAAAGTAAAGCGACAAGATGCTGAAATTAAAGAGAAAGAAAGGGAAATGAATACAGCTGGTAGAAAGTTAAAGCGACAAGATTCTAAAGTTAAAGAGAAAGAAAGGAAAATGGATAAGTTTGCAAGAAAGTTAAAGCGACAAGATGCTGAAATTAAAGAGAAAGAAAGGGAAATAAATACGGCTGGTAGAAAGTTAAAGCGACAAGATACGAAAGTTAAAGAGAAAGAAAGGGAAATGAATACTAAAGGTAGAAAGTTAAAACGTCAGAATGTTGAGGTGCAAGAGAAAGAGAAAGAGGGCAGTAGAGTTTCTAAAAGAAAATGCCGAGAAAATCCAGCTGTTCTTGAAAAGGAAAGGTTAAGAAAGCAAGCTAAACGAAGTAACATTTCATTCAGAGAAAATGAGAGATTCCTAAATAGGGAACAGAAACAGAAGCAAAGAGCAGATAAAGAATATTGTGAAAAAGTAAATGAACGACAGAGACAGAAAAGATTTGGAGCAGATATAGGAGATTGCATTCAAAATTTTCATGAGCAGATTAGACATGGTCCAATTTTTGTATGCTCATGTTGTCAGCAAACATGGTTCAAAGAAAGTGTTTCTAAAGTGGAAAACATCAAACTAGATGATAAATATAAAAACAAGTTTCTTACAAGCACTGTGTCTGTTGAAAATATGGAATGGATTTGCAATACTTGCTGTTCATCAATAAGAGAAAACAAAATTCCGAAGTTGTCTGTCTTAAATGGTATGATGTGGCCACTTAAGCCAATGGAATTAGATTTGTTTCCTTTAGAAGAAAGGCTTGTATCTCTGAGAATACCTTTTATGCAAATAAGGGAGTTGCCAAGGGGTGGACAGTATTCTGTAAGAGGAAATATTGTGAATGTTCCTGTTGATATTCAACCTACTGTAAATAGCCTGCCAAGAAAATTAGATGAAAATGTCACAGTTCCTGTCAAATTAAAGAAAAAGTTGTCATATCAAAAATGTGATTATCACGAAAATGTACGACCAACAAAAGTACTGATAGCGTTGCACTGGCTTATGAACAATAGCGACTTTTACAAGAATGCAAATATCAATGTTGATGACAACTGGTTTCAAGAAATTACAACGTCAGCAAGTGAAATTGTTCAGGAATTGGTGAAAACACAAGAGAGAAACAACCAAAATGCTGATGATCTTGAGACGGTTGATGATGATGATGAATTCTGTGAAGTAGATGGAGTTGGTAGAGATGGTAATTGTGATACTCTTTTAGATGATGCTTCACGAGACATGAATCAGGTATACACATTTGCTCCAGGTGAAGGACAACGCCCGCTTAGTTTATATCAAGATCAGACAGCTGAGTATTTATCATTTCCAACAATTTTTTGTGGAAAGGGAAGATTACAAGATGATGAAAGACAAGTTCGTGTCTCGTATGCAGATATTGCTAAATGGGAATTAAGGAGTGTTGATAGACGTGCTGCCCAGTCTGTTCCAAATTTGTTTTTCAAGTTGAAAAAAATACAAATGAAGCAAGTGACAGACAAATGCAACCTGGCTCTTAGGAAATGCAAAACCAAAGGAAAATCCATGACAGCAAATGAAATGAAAAATCCTGAAAATGTTAATAATCTTGTTAGACACGATGAAGGCTTCTTCGTGTTCAGGCAGTTACGAAATTCACCTGCATATCTTGAGACTAGAAAAAAAGATGTATTTGCTATGATCAGACAGTTAGGTCTACCAACATGGTTTATGTCTCTGTCAGCTGCAGATACAAGATGGAATGATCTCATCAGAGCACTTGGTGTGTTAAATGATGGAAAAGAATACACTGATGAAGAAATCGACAGTATGACTTGGTTTGAAAAATCAAAATTAGTACAAAAGGATCCTATCACTTGCTCTAGGTACTTTGATCATAGGTTCCATATGTTTATGAATACAGTGTTGAGAAGTGATCATCATCCAATTGGGATTGTAAAAGACTTCTTCTACAGAACTGAATTTCAGCAAAGAGGATCACCACATATTCATATGATTGTTTGGATAGAAAATGCACCAAAATATCATGAAAATAATGAACAGGAGATAGTAAGTTATGTAGATAATTACCTGGAATGTGAAAAGAATGAAGAGAAGGATTTGACTGACTTGCAAGTGCACAAACATTCACAGACATGCAAAAAGAGAGGTAAAGCTGTATGTCGATTTGGTTTTCCCCTCCCTCCTCTTGAAGAAACTTTGATTTTGGAGCCACTAGAGTGTGATGTTGATAAGTACAAGAAAATGTATGATGATATTCAGAAACAGCTGAATGATATGAAAAATGGATGTGATTTGCCCTACAAGGAGCTCCTGAGCACGGTTCTAAAGATATCGGAGGAAGATTACATAAAATGCATTAGAAGTTCACTGAGAGGTCCAAAGGTTTTTCTAAAAAGAAATCCATGTGATATGAGGGTAAACTCATACAACAGTGTTGTTCTTGATGCTTGGAAAGCTAACATAGACATTCAATATATTTTGGACCCATATGCCTGTGCAATGTATATTGTTTCATATATAAGTAAATCACAAAGAGGGATGAGCGATTTGCTTAACAGAGCTGCAAAAGAAGCTAGAGAAGGAAATCTTGACATAAAAAGACAGGTACGTCATATTGGAAATCATTTTCTCAACAGTGTAGAAGTTGGAGCACAGGAAGCAGCATATTTAGTATTGCAAATGCCAATGACCAAAGGTTCAAGAGATGTTGTTTTTATAAACACAAGTCCATCAGATGACCGAGTAATTCTCATCAAAACAGATGCTGAATTGGAAAAGTTGACACCAAATTCTACTGATGTGGAATGTAGCAATGTTATTAAACGGTATGCAAAACGCCCAAAGCACCTTGAAAACTGGTGCTTAGCTGATTACGTATCACAGCTAGATGTTGTCTTCCCTAAAGATACTGAAAAAGAGTTCACTGAAAATGAAGTGAATGATGATGATCAGGACAATCAGTCAGATGACGAAGACAATTCAGATCTTGAATTTAGTGAGAGTGATACACTTGTTACTCTGAGAAATGGCATAAAAATTAAACGACGGAAAGTACCAAGGGTAATTAGATATGTCCGATTTAATATCAAAACTGATCCAGAAAATTACTACAGAGAAAAACTCATGTTGTTCATGCCTTGGAGAAATGAATCAACTGATCTAATATCAGGAATGGACACGTTTGAGAAGTCATTTCATCTGGAGAAGTCATTTCTTACACACAAGGTCAAAGAATATGAATTCAACGCTGAACAGCTTGATGCAGCTTTGCAAATGGCAACTGAGGATTTTTCAGAAGCTTATGATGAATTGGCACCAGATGTTCAGCAAAGAGAGGCAGAAGATGAAAATGAGGGATCTCTTGAATCTGAAAACTTTGTTCAGTTTAATCCTGAGAGGCCTATTGAACAGAGACAGTATGATATAGGATCTGACCTTGGAATTCCATCAACAAGACAAATAACTGAAGAAAGTTCCGTTAGATTACCAGACGATGAATACTTGAAACTTTTAGGAAGTTTAAATGTAAAGCAGAGAGAATTTTTCAATCATGTCTTGCAATGGGTCAAAACAAAGACAGAACCTATTTATTCATTTTTGTCTGGAGGTGCTGGTGTTGGCAAATCTGTTTTGATAAGGGCACTTTATCAAGCTCTGCACAGATTCCTATGTTCCACAGAAGGTGAAAATCCAGATGACATAAGAATACTTCTTTGTGCTTATACTGGCAAGGCGGCATACAACATTGGAGGAAAAACTATTGCATCTGCTTTCCATCAAAAAATTAATCAAAGTCAACAAAGTTTGCACTGTGATGAATTGAACACTTTTCGTACAAAGTACAAAAACCTAAAATTGATCATTATTGACGAGATATCAATGGTTGGAAATAGATCATTAGCACTCATTGACAGTCGGCTACAACTCCTCACAGGCATCAAGAAACCATTTGGTGGTATTAGTATCATAGCTGTTGGTGATTTTTTTCAACTTAAACCTGTAATGGACCGTTGGATCTTTCAGGATTTAAATCATGATGCTCAAGCTCTTGCAAACAATCTCTGGAAGGAGCATTTTTGAATTTTTGAGTTGGATGAAATAATGCGCCAGAAGGACGATCTTGAGTTTGCTCAACTTTTAAATCGCCTTCGTTACAATATTATGACAGAAGAAGATATGAATGTGATACACAGATGCATGATAACGGAAACAAGTGACAATTATCCACATCATGCTCCTCATCTCTTTACACAGAATTCAAAAGTAGATGCATACAACAATCACTTGATTGAAAAACTTGAAGGAGAAAAGGTCACAGTAAATTCAGTGGATAGTGTTCTAAAGGATTATTCAAAGGAACTTAAGGAAAAGCTGCTTAGATCTCTATATAAAGCAGATGATGTTAGCAAAACTGCTAATTTGATGCAAAAACTGATTCTTGCTGTTGGGATGATCTATGATATCTCGGTGAATGTTGATGTATCTGATGGTTTAACAAATGGGTCAACATGTAAGGTACAATTAATTGAAAGAAAAATGGAAGGAATATCAAGACCAAGCATCGTTTGGGTAAATTTTTTTGATGCTGCTATTGGAAAAATTACTCGCAAGAAATATAAACATTTGTTTCATGAAGGAATTAATGTGGACTGGACACCAATTTTTGAAGTTCAGCGATCTTTTGTATTGAATTACAATACTTTTCAGAGAATTCAATTTCCGTTACGGCCAGCTGCAGGGAAAACAGTTCATAAAGCGCAAGGTTGCACTGTTGATGAAATTGTGATTGATTTGTCTCAGACTAGAGTGAGGAAAAATCCACATATTCACTATGTAGCATTAAGTCGAGTACGATCCGTGGATCGTCTGCACATCCTAAACTTCAATGAACAGGCATTGACTATGGATGAACAAGTAGTAGAGGAAATGGAAAGAATGAAGAAAGATGTGCCGCTGCTACTTTGTTATGTCCCATTATACCAGGTCGATTTGCATTCTTTTAAAATTGCTTTCAACAACTGTAGATCACTTCATAAACACTTCCCACAAATTCAAGATGAACCAAATATTCTTGCATCAGATGTAGTTGGATTCTCAGAGACAAGATAAACTAGTGTTGATGTAGCTGAAAATTATCAACTGCAGGGATACACAGCAGTATTAAACCATGAGCCTACGTGTAATCTGGACAGACGCCCATATCATGGAACAGCACTGTATGTGAAAAATGTCTATAACACAACCTGTATCTCAAAGCTGAATACTGGGTCTGTGGAGTTTATCATGGTAAATATGCATTTAAACCAAAGCAGAGATGTTCAAGTTGTAGTTATTTACAAATATCCATCTTGCTCTTTTGGGGATTAGAAACAGCATATGAATATGCATATAAAGCCCTTGATTGATGAACAGAAAGACGTGGTATTCTTAGGAGATTTTAATTTTGATTTATTTGCTGGACATACAGACTTTCTAACTTTTATGGAAAAGGGCTTCAGCTGTAAACAAATTGTGCGTAAGGCTACTCATGACTCTGGTTCTAAACTTGACTTGATTTTTACAAATATATCGCAGTGTGAAACAGATGTTATTGAAGCATACTGGTCAGATCATAAAATGGTGTACTGTGCATTTGATAAGACTGCATTAAATACAATGGGGCTCCAAAGTAAAAAAAAATTCAGAGGGAGATTCAAAATAGTGCCCCCTCCCTCATCCCTTTGTCCCAATCCTAGTATACCCCTTAAAATTTTAGGGGTATACTGGATTCACCATGTCCATCTGTATGTGTCGTAATTTGTCAAAGCCTGGAGCTATTTTTTTATGATATGCTGTCATGACCATCTAAAAAAATTAGATCAAGGTCTCAAACTTGAAACTTTTAAAATTTTTGGTTCTGGATGTATATATTATATGTTATACTTTGGCAGAGAATGCTTACGAAAAAGGGATCTGTCTTGATCTCATTGGATGTCATGATTGTACAAAATCATTCTGTAATATGACTAAGAAGTTGAGTATTCTTTGATCCAAAAGTTTGAACTGTAGGTAATTGTGTTCTTCACTCAATGGAGAATAACATGACCTTTAACTAATTATATCTCAACAAAATTCAGGCCATTTCCTTGGTCATTTGCAATAATGTTAGCCAAGTATATGTCTTTCCATATTCGCTTGTTGGGGTATTAGCCCTATTTGGACATTTTTTTTAAATAACCCACTATTTGAAAATTTGAATTTTGTACTTTATCTTTGTATCAAATCAATTTTGTTTTTAAATGAAGACATCTATGTTTTAGACCTGACTGTCAGTTACATATTGAATTCTTATTGTACTTACGTACGTGTATATACTGGGTATGTTTAATTTCTTAAGACTTTAATTGTATGGATTTAAAAACTTCATATCTTTTGCTATGACTACAATTTATGCTGAATTTATTATGCATATTTAAATTGAAATGAAAGGTCATATTCATAAATAAATGCATTATTTCTGACCATAACCAGTAGATTGATCAACTGTTGATTTTATATCTGAGGATTTGTAAAACTGTGAACATCTCTTTTTATGTATATGTATAACAACTATTAACTTTTGAATATATAGTTTGTAAATTTCTTTGGTTTTTTATTTACTTCCATTATTGTTATAAGTATAATCATGTATATTCATTTCGTAGTTTGTTCAATGTATTGGATATATCCATTCTGAGAACAATGTATTACCATTTCGAAAGTTCAGATATCTTACAAACAATATTGATGTTTCAGAAATTGAGAATCATCTATCCCATAATGTGACTTTGGATTTAAATACCGATAACTGGATATTAAGTTGGGAGCTTTTTTTATCCTGACATTTTGTGATCTTTCTTGATGGACATTGAAGAATATACTCTTTGATAGACTGCAGTGATTGTGACTCTAGACCATATGCCATATTATCTGTGAATCGATCTGACTCTTCCAGCTACTTTGTGTGACATTCATATCTTCTCATAATATTTGCCAGATATATCATTGCAAAAATTAAATGTACTGTGTCACCTTATAGAATGTGGACACCACTGAGTTGGAGCTCTTCATTGACTGCATGACTTAAAATTATATTTTGCTGAAATATTTTGAAATTTTATTTGGATTTGTGGCTTGTTAAGTTTTTTTGTTAAGCAAAAAACTTGATAAAACCTGACATACAAAAAGAAATTATATTTTACTTAATCATGTCTTATTTGTACTATGAACTTCTTTGTAAATATGTTTCTTCAAAATAACAATGCCTTATTAACAGTTCAAAAATGCCATTACATTGTCACAGCTATAGTCAGATTCCCTGATTTAAATGAATACTATACATAAATCATGTAGATTTTTGTGAGGATCAAGTGATTAAAGATTACTTTTATTAGATAAAATTTAATATGTACAAAATGTATAATTTACAGGTAAGTATGGAAAGAGGGGGTCAATGGCCAGCCCGTAAAGGGAGGTAAACCTACCTCTTTTAGAAAATAATAAAAATACTTATAAATATGATAGCACATGATATGCTACATTTATAATAAAAAACTTTATAGGAATAAAAGTGCTCCCTTCAATTTTTCAACAAGATTCTTTGAATCAGGGGTTCTGAGAAAGCATTTATTATGTAAATGTAAAGTATTATGCATATTGCTAAAAACTGAAGAACCTTTTTTTCCAATCGCTTACACGTAACCTTTCCTGTTTTCGCTTTCATTGGGAAAGGTATGTATTATAAAGTAATTGTCCTTTTTTTAATTGACCAATATACTTAAGACAAAAATGCATATTTTGCCTGCATTTTCAAATGATTTTTCCCATGCTATATACATGTACAGTAATACTCTTTCAAATTATTAAGATTTATTGTAATTTTCAATTGTTATGTTTTAAATTTAATTATACATGTACTGATTTTATAAATACATGTTTTTGACTTACAACTTCATATGTATGTGAAAGCAAGTTTCAAAATAAGTAATATATTTCAAATTGTATATTCTTATATCAAATGTGTCAATATGGTTTAATATGTACCACATTGTTAATCGTTTTATCTGTTATTTTACTTAAAAAGAAAGTTCATATTCTTAACTACAGATAATCATGATAATCACCTAAGACTTAATGCATAACTTAATTTCTGGTTACTGAATAAAGTTTTAAGCACAATCATGCATTTTTCGTATTCACTGAAGGGAAGTTATTAACCGTGATTGCACTTTTCAAACTATCTTTGGCTCAAACAAGAGGCCCAAGGGCCTTAACGGTCACCTGAGTACAACAATTTAGAGGATCCATAAACTGATAAATGAAGCCAATCTCTATCCAGAGTTATCGTTCCCGCTACGCTCCACTTATACCTCTGTCAACGTCTAAAAGGTAGTACGGAAGGCGGAGACGCGTGGCCTCTATCACAGGAAGATTAACAAGCGTATAACCTTCACTTTTCTGTATATGTGTCAATGCTGCAAGTTGTTTGTCTTTAAAAACTAAACCATGTTGATATTTGTCGGCAATGCGTTTTAAATTTTCCACGTTCTTCATATTCTGTCTACATGAGTGATGCAATATCCCGCCGAGAAATAATCCCTTGTAAGATACGGGGATACAGATATATCTCTTTCTAATTTTCATACATAAACTTTTCTTTAAATTTTAAAGCTAAAATATTTAACTTTAAAATTTATAATTTGTTATGCAATAGGTCAGGGTAAGTTTTGCCAAGAATCTTGGCATTTAGACGTTAACAGAGGTGTTGTAGCGAAGCGTAATACGCCCTCTGGTGAGAGATTGAAATGAAGCTTTAATTGTTGCCCAATAGCAAGAAAATTAGTATGATTAAGATCAACAAAATAATTGGTCTGATATCTTTCTATCTGTCCCCCATTTATCACTATTACTATGCAGACTTTTAACAAAATGTCTATATTATTACCCCTCAAATTGGCCTCACTTGGCCTTTGAAGAACACTTAAGAAGATAAGTTATTTTTGTTTCATTTTTATTTATCTATTATTTCCAAGTCTACCTGATTATTAAAAACTATAAAAGTA